GGGGGGGGGGGGGGGGGGGGGGGGGCGAACGCCATGCAAGTAAACTTGCCTGAATCCAGAGAAAAACAGGCTCAAAGCTGCATGAGCAGGGGCTCTCGACGCCCAGCAGAACCCACCCCCAGAATGAAAACACAACAACAAAAAATGAGAAGAGGCCAAAAGACATGAGAAGAGAGGCCAGAGAATCCCCCCGACGAGTGAGAAGCCGTGTGGCAAACGCGGAGGAATCGAACAGGGCAGGGCTGTTTTGTAAACGCCCAGGGCGGTGTAGAAAACGCCAATTCTCGGGTCCGGGCGGTTTTCCATCCCTTGACATAGGTCTCGAAGTTCCGCGCGGATATCTTGGGTTGCGGCGCTTGACCTCCCTTCCTTAGGCAACCACCTTTGAACCCTGCCCCCGCAGGTCAGACATCGAACGATGTCTGCAGCCGAGTGGCCCCCAGCGGGAGTGTCCGAGAGCCCAGCGTCGAGCGGACCCCCAAGGGAAGGGCCCGCTGGCGGCCGCAAATCCATGGAGCCCTCTGGCGATCCGAAAGTCCATGCTCGTGTGCCATATTTCAAACACTCGCCATCGCTCGGACGTCCATTTCCTGTGTTTTTTGGTTTCGTGCGTGGTTTTTTTCGCCAAATGATCAAGGATGCTCCTGGATGATCCTCGCCGAAGGAAAAATGCACACGCCCGAGCGATGCCAAGAACATCTCTCTTCTCTTCTCCGATCCTCGGGCTCAAACGTGTCGGGTGCGCCGCGCCGGTACACGGCCTCCTCCGCATCTGGGCGCGCGCGCAGCGCGGCGAGCGGGGAGTGGAAGCCGTCCATGCCCAGCACCACGCAGGCCTGAGGGGCAACTGCCGGGGTGGGTACCGGCTCGGGGGGGGAGCATCGAGCTCAAATCGGCGGTGCAGCTCTGATGGATCGGCGAGAGGCCCCCGAGGGGGAAGCCGCATGCTCCTGGGCGGGGTAGGCCATCGGGCCCCTATCGGCGATCCATGGGCGAGTGTGTATCGACCCAGACATGCGACGCCCTGGTTTGTTCAGTAAAACCGCGTCCCCAGGAGTGCTGACCCTCTCCCCGGGGCCGGTTTTTCATCCCGAGTCGTTCTGTGACGCTCCCGCGGACCGGCGAGGGTCCCCACGGGCCGAAAATAATGGAAAACTTGCCGTCCTGATCTATTCACGACGCGATCATGTTGGAGGCCTGGAAATTGGCACCAACACCAGCACAGGGGGGTGCCTCCACATGGGGACGACGATCCCAGATTTCGGTGTTGGTAATCATATTCCGGTCACCTGGGAAGCCAGAATCTTACCACCGTCACCGAGGTCGGGATCGTCTTCCCCTGGTGGAAGCACACCGCCGATCTTGGTGTTGGTGTCAATCTCTAGGCCTGCGATCCTGTCTGGGGGTGCAGCTTCCCCTGAACCTAGGAAGAGGAGCAGGAAGATGAGCAGGAGGAGGAGGAGGAGGAGGACGAGGAGGAGAAGGAGGAGGACTAGATGGAGGAGGAGGGGGAGGAGCAGGAGGAGGAGGAGGAGGAGGAGGAGGAGGAGGAGGAGGAGGAGGTCCTCTGGTGATTTTCGGGTCATAACTCGGGCCTCCAGCGGCCGCTCGGGGCGACTGGGCACCCCTGGAGGACCGCCCGCGGCGAGCGCAGCGGCTGCAGAGCGTCCGTGGAGGCCAGAAGGCCGCCGAGAACTGGCCAAAGCGTCCGAAGACTTAGCACTTCGAGTCGAAATATGCAACGTCTTGACGTCTTCAGGACGCGCTTTCCACGGAAGCCCCGACCCCCCCCCCCAGGGCCAGCGTTTCATCTCGAGCCGTGTGTTGACGGTCACGGGACCTGGCTAGGGCCCCCCGAAGCCGAAAACTGTCCAAAAGCCTGCCGTCGTGATTCTTCGCCCGGCAGCGAGCGAGGGGCAAGTGAGAAAAAGAAGGCCTCCTCAGAAGGCTCGGAAGTCCCCCGGCCTTCTGAGAAGTCCGAAGACACAACATGAACCTCTCAGAAGGCGCGAAGGCTTTGGAGAAGCCCCGCCGCCCTTTGAGAAGGCCTTCTCCTCCTCACTCCCCCCCCCCCGCTCTTGGCGGATTCACGACGCGAGCACGCCTGGGAACTTTGCCCCAAGAAGGCCTCGCCCAGCAGCTCTCCGAGGGCCGCCGCCGCCGTCGACTTGCCAGACCCCGGCGGCCCCGCCAGCGCCACCAGCAGGGGCCGCCCGGGCTCCCCCGCGCCTCGAGGCAGTGCCGAGGGGTGCCCCCAGCAGGGGGGAGTCACAGCCTCCCCTTCCCAGACATGCGACGCCCTGCCTTTTTCGGTACGGGGCCCCTGCAAGTCCCGACCCGTTCCCCGGGGCCGGTCTCTCGTCCCGCTGCGTCTTTGACGGTCCCGAGGCCCAGCTCGGGCCCCCGGGGCCGAAGATTCCAAAAGCCGCCCGTCCTTTTTCCTAATACAAAAAAACAGAACAAGACGCAATCATGCCTGGGTTGGGTATCGAGGATCGAGGAGCGAGAATCCAGGAGCTCCAGGGGGGCCGTGGCAGACACCGCGGCGGAAGGCGTCGCGTCGCAACTCTGAGCATCTCCGGGTGCCTCTCGCCGGTGTCTCGGGACCGTCCACAAGCAACTCGGGAGGAACTGCTGGTTCGCACGAGGGGCTCCTCCTCCTCCTCCTCCTCCTCCTCCTCCTCCTCCTCCTCCTCCTCCTCCTCCTCCTCCTCCCCTTCTCCTCCCCCTTCTCCCCCTCCTCCCCCGCCCTCCCTGGCGCCGTGGCAAACATCGCGAAGATCGCAACTTTCAGTCTCCGGGGGGGCACCTCGCGGGCGTCTCGGGAGACCTTTAGTATAAGCCACTCGGGGAGGAACTGCTGGTCCGCACGAGGGGGTCCAGGCCTTTGGGGGCCCACGTCACGAGCCAGATCACGACGCCAGTGGCCCGGCAGCAAGGATCGATGAGGGGCGCAACCCTTGTCTAGGCCGTCTAGATAGGGCCAGAATAGACAGGGTCGGAGGATCGCGCCGCATCGCTGATGCATCGGCGATGCGGCTCGATGCGGAGCCCGATTTGATTCACGTCGACATCGCCCATGTATCGCCCACGTCGACGATGCATCGGTGATGCGGCGCGATCCTCCGACCCCATCTACTCCGACCCCAATTAGGAGGCCTCTACCTTGGCACTGCCTCGAGGTGCGGGGGAGCCCGGGCTTGGAAGCTTTTGGGCGTCTTTTTGGGAGCGCTGGCGGGATCTTGGAAGTATGGGGGGAGGTCCATTTCCTGGAGCGGGGACCGACCGTCCCGGCATTCCTTTAGGCCTACCACGACATGTTCTTCGAACCACTTTGAATGCTCAAATCACAACAAACAATGTTCTTAGAACAGAAGCCCAATGTGTCAACACAAGACAGCCTCGGCCAGAAATGGTCTAAGAACATTTCGTGAGGACCACAGAAGGTCCTTAGAACACTCTCTGGTGGTCCTACAGGCGAGCCAGGACGCTCCGCCACGGCTTGAGCTTCCTTGCGCAAGTGGCGACCCCCTCAAAGGTGACCCCCTCGGCACTGACCGGCGCGCCTCGCGAGACCAGCCGGGCGCGTATCTCCTCCGCGGCACGCGGCTCCCAGGAGAGCGGCGGCGGCGGCGGCGGCAGGCGCGCCAGGAAGCGGGCCACGGCCGCCGACAGCTGACCTGTGGAGAGGCAGCGCAAGCAACATCGGCGGCGGGGGAAGCAACTAATGGGAGGTCTTCGTGGGAAGGACTAACGAGGGTTAAGCCCTAGAGGGGGGCGGTTGCGCTGGACTGGGCCTCGGATTAAGCGGGACTAAGCCGGCTTAATCGGGATTAAGCGGGATTAAGCCGGATTCAGCGGGATTGAGCAGGATTAAGCCAGATTCAGGGCAAAATCAGAGTTTGACCTCCCATGAGTTGCATCCGTCGCAGTGGCACGGAGAGCCCACCCACCCGGAAATCGGCATCGGCTTCTTTGTCGCGCGCGGGCGGGCGGGGCGAAGCTGCGCGGGCGGGCGAGAGGGACGATCCCTACCTGGGCTTAGTGTTTCTCCTCCCCCCTGGGCTGGCTGGCGGTGGCCTCGGGCTGTCCCGCTGGCGTCCCGTGGTGTGCCTGGGCGCGGTGTCGCGCGGTGTCTCGTGGAGGTCGATCGTGAGATCGATGGTGAGATCGCTGGAGTGAGATCGGTAGCGACATCGAACATGAGAATGACGGTGAGGTCGATGGACAAGGAGATCGATAGATAGAGGGAGATCGATCGTGGAATCGACAGTGTTGCTTCCCGTGTGTCCCTTGGTGTCTCGCGGTGCCATGTGGCCTTGTATGCTATTCCGTGGTGTCTCGCGGTGCATCGTGTCGATACAAAAAGTGGCGCTGATGTTCCCGAGGGTGTCCCGATGGTCTCCCGATGCTGCCCCAGTGGCCTCAACAACGTCACCATCACCATCACCATCGTCGCAGTTGCCACGAGTTGCCCCCCCCACACACACACACACACACACACACACACACACACACACACACACACACACACACACACACACACACACACACACACACACACACACACACACAACCTCCTTCTCACCCGAAGGGTGGTCTTACAGGTACACATGTGTCTGCTTTGAACGGTCCCCACCCGAGAACTAGAGGCCTCCTTGATGGGGTCCGAGTAGATGGGCTCGGAGGATCGCGCCGCATGGCCGATACATCGACGATACATCGGCGATGCATCGCCGATGCATTCGCGATGCATCGTGAACGTGGGCGATGCATGGGCGACGTCGAAGTAAAGCAAATCGGGCTGCGCATCGAGCCGCATTGGCGATGCATCGGCGATGTGGCACGCTCCTCCTCCTCCACCTCCTCCTCCTCCTCCTCCTCCTTCTCCTCCTCCCTCTCCTCCTCCCCCCTCCTCCTCCCTCTCCTCCTCCTCTTCTCCTCCGTCCTCCCTCCTCCTCCTCCCTCCCTCCTCCTCCTCCTCCTCCTCCTCTCCCTCCTCTTCCCTCCTCGTCCCTCCTATCCTCCTCTCCTCCGCCTCCTCCTCTCCCTCCTCTCCTCCTCCTCCCCTCCTCCTCCTCCTCCTCCTCCTCCTCCTCCTCCTCCCCTCTCCTCCTCCTCCTCCTCCCTCCTCCTCCTCCTCCCTCTCTCCTCCTCCTCTCCCTTCCTCCGCCTCCTCCTCCTCCTCCTTGCTCCTCCCTCCTCCTCCCTCCTCCTCCTCCTCCTCCTCCTCCTCTCCTCCTCTTCCTCCTCCTCCTCCCTCCTCTCCTCCCTCCTCCTCTCCCCCTCCTCCTCCTCCTCCTCCTCCTCCTCCTCCTCCTCCTCCTCCTCCTATCCGATCTATTCTGACACCATCTGGGAGGCCTAGAAGAACGCGTGGCGCGATACCGATGGATCACGGGGCACCTCGCGGCCTGGCGGCCGCGGCGTGCATAGCCGTCGCCCGTCGAAGGCGCGAGGCGGGAATGGCCCTGCGTGCCGAGGCAGGTCAGGAGATCTTGCGAAGCTAACAACCTAGATGCCTCCTAGATGGGGTCCGAGTAGATGGGGTCGAAGGATCGCGCCGCATCGCCGACGTCGGCGATGCATGGGCGACGTCGGCGTAGGAAAACACGGGTTCCACATCGAGCCGCATCGTCGATGCGGTGGGGTCCTCCGACTCCATCTACGCCGACCCCATCTAGAAATCCTAGACAACCCCAATCTGTCGGGTGGAGAATGGACTTTCGGAGGTCCGCGCAGACTTTCCCTGGCGCGCGGATCCTGCCATGGGCAACTTCGGCGGCACTGAGGAGGGGGCCAAGCGCCGACCGAAGAAGTCCGCGCGGCCTCCGACAAATTACTCCAGATTTCGTAATAAAGGGAGGGGGGTCTCATTTCGGGGGGGGTCTCTTCCAGGCTATCTTGGAGGGCCTGGGGGGGTCTGGGGACGATGTTTTGGAGGGTTCTCCCAGGGGGGGGGGGTCTGAAATGGCTTGTCTTGGAGGGTCCAGACCCCCTCCCTTTTATTACGAAATCTGGAGTAACCATGTCCATGCCGTGTTTCTGTTCTCCGATGACCGGGCGCGTCACCCGAGCTGAGGCCGTGGCCACCCTCCTTGATGATCACTACCTGCCGGGTGCTGCCAGAGGTGACCCTGGTACAAGGCGTCCCCAGGACTCCTGGGGAAGCCCCCACGGCATCCAGCGCACCCCAGACATGCGATGTCTTGTTCCAATGCGCGGTCCCCGGAGGTACCGTCCCTGTCCCCCAGGCAGGCGCTTCATCCCGAGTCCTTTTTGACGGTCCCGAGGCCCAGCGAGGGCCCCTGTAAGCAGAGAATGGGCAAGCATCTCCTGTCGGGACATCTGCTCTTGATTCGAGCATGTCTGGGCCTTAGCAGCCCCCGAACCTCGTTCTCCCCAGCCTGGCCAGATGCCATGGCCGAAGAGAGGCGCCCGAGCAGCCCTGGCATGTCCACCCAGGAAGGCACGTACTCATCGTCCGCCGAGCCCACCAGCAGGGTGGGGACGGCGACGTGGCCCAGCTTCCCCACCAGCTCCTCTCGGCGGCGCGCACAAAGGACACGCAGTCGAGCACGGCCCCCTTGTTACCCCTCGTCCCTGGACCACCTTCGGCGGCCTTCGGCGGTCTTCGGCGGTCTTCCGACGGCCTTCGGCGGACTTCGGTGGTACTCGGCGGTCTCGTGATGATCGTGTTTTCTCCCTCTGAGCTGGCCCACCAGCGCTGTGCGAGTGGGTCGTGACCGGCCTTCTGCGGTCTGCGGCGGTCGCCGGCGGTCTTCGGTGGTCTTCAGCGGTCTTCGGCCTCCTGCGGTCTTCGGCGGTCTTCGGTGGTCTGCGGCGCGGTCGCTATGGAGGGCAGCTGTCCACAAGGGTGAAGGGGCCCCGGGACACACAAATAAATACACACAAACAGAAAAAATCCCTATAGTTTCATATCTATTTTCAGGGTTTCTGGCTTCCCCCCCACTTCCCATATTTTCCTATACTTTCTGGGGAATCGACGATTCATTGTGTCTGTGTGTTTTTTGTCCCTCCTGAAAGGGGTCCGCGGTCGAACTCCCAGCGAGGGCGCGGCGCGAGAGGCGCCGCCCTCGCCGAGAAGGCGGGAAGAGGCCCTCGGGAGGCGGGGGCCTTCCTGCCCGGACCCCCCCTCGAAGGGGCCCGAGTCCAGGCTCATCCTGGGGTTCACGCGGCAGCAGATTCACAGAGAGAGAGAGAGAGAGGTCGGGGAGGCCATGCTGCTTCGCATGAACCGATGCCGATGGCTCTCGAGGCTGTACCGGGCGCCGCGGCCTTCTCAGAGCGTTCGAGAACGCTCCGAGAGCGCTCTGGAACGGTCTGGTCCGATGGGGTCCCGGGAACCTCTTTTCCCCAAGGCCGGCTTTGCATCCTGATTCAGTTATTGGCGGTCCCGGGGCCTAGCGAGGTCCCCCAGACGCCGAGATCGACCTAACACCTCCATCTGGATTTTTTTCCAGACGTTGCAGGTCTGTTACGGGGCCCAGGAACACACAAACAAACAGTCACAACTCCCAGAGTTCCCTCTACTTTCTCGTATTTTCTTGGTCTGCGTCTTCACCCCCCCACTTCCCATTTTTTATTTTTTTCCTGGGAATCGACGCTTACTTGTGTTTGTATGCGTGTGCCCGTCGAGGGCGCACGTCAAGGCAAAGGGGAGCAACTGACCGCGGCCTGAACCAGCGGGGCCCACATGGGCCGCTTTGGGGCCTCTGGGCAAAACCAGAAACACGAGAGCAAGCAATCCCCAGACCACCGAATCAAGGCGCCTCCGAACCGTGTGTGTGTGTGTGTGTGTGTGTGTTTGTGTGTGTGTGTGTGTGTGTGTGTTTGTGTGTGTGTGCGTGTGTGTGTGTGTGAGTGTGTGTGTGTGTGCGTGCGTGCGTGCGTGCGTGCGTGCGTGCGTGCGTGCGTGCGTGCGTGCGTGCGTGCGTGCGTGCGTGCGTGCGTGCGTGCGTGCGTGCGTGCGTGCGTGCGTGCGTGCGTGCGTGCGTGCGTGCGTGCGTGCGTGCGTGCGTGCGGTGCGTGCGTGCGTGCGTGCGTGCGTGCGTGCGTGCGTGCGTGCGTGCGTGTGTGTGCGTGCGTGCGTGCGTGCGTGCGTGCGTGTGCGTGCGTGCGTACGTGCGTGCGTGCGTGCGTGCGTGCGTGTGTGTGTGTGTGGTGGGTGTGTCTCCCCTCCTGAGGCTGGGGTCCTCCTCGGTGAGATCCGAGGAGAACATGTCGTCGTCGGTCAGCCGCCCCGTCAGCGAGTCGAACCGGTAGGCCGAGACCGGGTGGTCCGGAGGGCCCAGCAGCGGGTTGGCCTCCCGGGGCATCGCCTCACCAGCCTCGAACGTATCCCTATCCCTAAGATGGGCGAGCAAAAGGCGAGGACCACCTCAGGGGTGGGCCCTCAAGAGCCGAGGCAACCCTTAGGATCGGCATCGGGGTGAGGTGATGTCAAACATAGGGATAGGGATATGTTCCAGGCTGGTAGTCGCCTCCTGCCCGCGCCCCGCAGCGATGAGGGCCGCGGCCTGCGCCCGGCACCTCTGCACGGCCTGCTCCTCTCGGGCGGGGGGGTCGCGCCGCAGCCTCGCTGCGTCGGCGACGCCGGCTCGGAGAAGGGCGGGCTCCACCTCGAGCCTGCATCCCAGGCCCCCTCGCGGTGGGCAAAAATCACGACGGGAAGCTTCTTGGTATTTTCGGCCTCCGGGGGGCCCTTCACGAGCCCCGTGACCGTCCAAAAACGACTCAGGATGAAAAACAGGTCCCAGGGAAGTGGTCCAGACCTCTGGGGGTCGACGTTGTGAAACAATCACGGCGTCGGGGCTTTGGGATCGCCGATGCGTCGCCGATGCAGAGCGATGCTCCGACCCCTATCGGCTCGGACCCCATCTGGGAGGCCTCATCACGGGGTTCGAAACAAATATGCCGATGCCGCTGCTCCCCAGCCTTCTCCCGGGGGGCCCTCCAGAATTTCCAGGCGCGTTCCGCCGTGGCGACGGGGGCATCGCAGGAGGCCTCAGAAAGACCAAGACGAGGAAAGGGTAATGACGTCGGTCCCGTGCGTCTTCCCATGTGATGTTTCAATCCGCGGCTCCAGAGCTCCCGAACCCTTCCCTGGGATGCATTTTGCGTCTGGGATTCACTGCTGGTGGTCCTCGGGACAAGGGCCGCCCGGCCCGCTGCCGGGCCCAAGAGGCCGAACCCCCCCCCCCCCAAAAAAAACGGTTGGATTCCAAGAAGCCTATCGTCGCAGATCTGGGTCAGCCGCGGGACTTCTTCGCAACGCCGCCCCCCGAAGGTCGCGAGCCCTTCCCTGGGACTGGTTTTCACCCCGAGTCCTTCTTTGAAGGTCCTGGGGCCCGGCGAGGGCTCCAAGACGCTGCAAACCAAGACGAACATCCGTCTAGTTCACGACCGTCCTGTGGTGCTGGGTGCTCGTTTTGAACAGACTGCCCCTGCCCCCCGCAGCAGTCAACCATGTCGGCGCACCCCTCACAGGTTTCATGGCCCCAGAGGGAGCTCCGCCCGAGGCCCCAGTGGCTGCGTTCGCATGCGCCCACCACACCATTTTCAGCACACCCTTCACACGCTCCGTGATCCCATAGGAAGCTCAGCCGAAGACTTTAGTGGCTGCGTTCGCCTGCGCTCGCCGCGCCTATTTCGGTACAGTCCTCACACGCTTCGTGGCTCCATAGGGAGCCCAACCGAAGACGCTGGTGGCTGCGTTCGCATACGCCCGCCGCACACACTGGGCGCTGGCGATGAACCGTCAACCTGGCTACCGCGGGGGACCTCGTAGAGCTCCCAATCATAGCTCGAGTAGCAGACCGGGCTCAGGTCCCTCGAGACCTCAGCTCGAAACTATTTTTTGCCCCCGCATCTGTCATGGACGAGATATAAGTTGCTGTCATAGCCCAAAACTGAAGCCCCTTGAAACACGTTCAAATTATCAGAGAAGCTGCAGGTCAATATGGCATCTCGAGCGTAGCGCGAATAGAACACCGAACTCAGGCGAGACACTGCGGATCAAAGCTGCCGATGCTGAACCGGTTCGTGCAATCGAGAGCTCTGTAGCGGCTCTTTCAAATCACAGAAGTGTTCGATGTCGACGCGACGTCGGTTGGCCCAAGTGTATGGAGAGTACTACTGCAGCTACGGACCTAAACCTAAGTTAGAAAAGCGCGTCTTACTTCACTGTAGAAAGATGTCGGCAGTAATTCTTGCAACGAGTGACCAAATCTCGCACAATGATCCAACATCAACCCCAACTCATCACATTGTCTGGTCTGGCCGTGCCGACCAACAGGCTCCACAGGCTGCAGCCTGCGCCCGAGTTCCTCTGAGCCCGTCCTACCGAAGAGCTCTACGAGGCACTTCGGCACACCGCTCACTGGCCCCGCAGGGCGCTCCACCGAAGGCCCTAGTGGCTGCGTTCGCATGCGTTCGCCGCACCCATTTCGGCACACTTCTCGCACGCTTCGTGGCCCCATAGGGAACTGCAGCGAGGCCCGAATGGCTGCGTTCGCATGCGCCCACCGCGCCCGTGTCGGCACACCCCTCACACGCTTCGTGGCCCCATACCATAGGGAACCCAACCGACGGCCCCAGTGACTGCGTTCGCATGCGCACGCCGCAACCATTTTGGCACACTCCTCAAGCGCTTCGTGGCCCCATAGGGATCTCCATCGAAGGCCCCAGTGACTGCGTTCGCATGCGCTCACCGCGTCTTTTTCGATACATCCCTCAGACGTTTCGTGGCATGGGCAGCTCCACCGAAGACGATACTCACAACTGCGTTATTCACACCTGCATAATTATGGTTGGGTCCTTCGCCAGGCTAATGTCTTAAATAGGTTGGATGTTTGGGTACATACCGCTTCACCTCCACCGAGCTCCTTCCTGAGCGTCGAGTCCAGCAGCCGCGTGATCGTTTCACAGCGTGGACTTCCGAATGTCTCGACCCTTCTTTGGGACTGGTTTTGCATTCCGAATCGTTGTTTCAGAATCCTGGGGCCCAGCAAGGAGCCCCGGAGGCAGAAAATATTGAAAACATCCGTCTTGTTGTCTTCAATGCGTTGGGTGCGTGTGTACCGACCGCTTTACCCCCTCCGAGATCCTTCTCGGGCGTCGAGTCGACCAGCCGCGCCTTGGCGTAGCCCACAAGTGGGTGGCGCGAGGGGGGTCAGGCTTCTACAGCAGCTGGGCGGACTTCCAAAAAGCCCCACTGCCTTCTCTAGAGGCCTCCTACACGTGTCCGAGGGGATGGGGTCGGAGGATGGCGCCGCATCGCAGATGCAACGGGGACGTCGGCGACGCATCGGCGTGGATAAACTCGGGCTCCACATTGAGCCGCATCAGCGATGCGGCGCGATCCTCTGACCCCCTTTGCTCAGACTGCATCTGGGAGACCCACTCTGCGTTTGGCCAATAAGCGTGGGGGGGGGGGGGGGGCGCCACCCCTCCCGACAGCCCCAAGTCAACCCCCGTCGCGGGCAAGCATTGCCGCGCGACGTCGACCCCAATCGGCCCACACCACCCGCCGCAAAAACCACATCCCCAGCCCGCGGGCGCGGACAGGTTGAAGCTAACCTTGGCGGCGAGCAGAGGGGGGTAGGGGGAGGGGGGAAGGCTTCTTAGAAGCACCCTGCTTCTTAGAAGGCCCTGGCCTGACATGAATAGGGAAGCCTTCCCCCCTCCCAGTACCCCCCTCTGCGCGTGGCTGATAACCCCCGTCGGGAGTGGACCCCCCCCCATGCTCAGCACCCGACGCAGGAGCACAGAGAAGCCTGAACCAGCGGATGCTGGAAACTCAATGAACGTGGAGGTGGCCAGGGCTGGAGCGACTGGCAGGCGGGGGGGAGGGGGGCAGGTCCGAAACAAATGGGACTTGGCCGCCAGGGCTGAACAAAACGAAGAGACACCGGTCAGGGCTGGAAAGAATGAAAGGGCTGGCCCCAGCCACTTTTTCTAGCTTCCCTGTTGAATATTTGAAGCCTCGCCCAATGTTGCTCCCATCGAACTTTAGGACCACATCCCAGAAGCAATTTCCATCACCCAGAAAAGTATCGAACCAGCGTCGGACGAGTACCGCCTCCCAGGGCCCGACACAGGAAAGCCCTCACGCTCCGGTATTCCCTTGGTGCTCGCGAGTATTTTTCTGGTGACCACGGCCCTCAAGGCCAAAGCACACTGGAACATCAGAAGCCTCGCCTGGCCATCCCTCGGACGTCCATTCCCTGTGCTTTTGTTTCGGTCTCGTGCGTGTGCTTTTTTTCGCCAAATGAGCAAGGGTGCTCCTCGATGGTCCTCGCCGAAGGAGAGAGGCACACGTCCGAGCGATGCCAAGTCGCCGCCCTCTCGCTCGTCCTCCTCCTCCTCTTCCTCCTCCTCCTCCTCCTCCTCCTCCTCCTCCTGCTCCTCCTCCTCCTCCTCCTGCTCCTTCTCCTCCTCCTCCTCCTCCTCCTCCTCCTCCTCCTCCTCCTCCTCCTCCTCCTCCTCCTCCTCCTCCTCCTCCTCCTCCTCCTCCTCCTCCTCCTCCTCCCCCCCCTCTCCTCCCCCTCCCCCTCCCCCTCTCGGCAAACCCGCCTCCCCCGCGCCACCCCCGCGTGGGGCGCCCGCCGGCGCGCCTCCCGGTCGCTCACCGGCGCCTGCAGCACCAGGGCCACGACGCGGCGCGCCTCGGCGCCCCGCGCGAGGTACCGCACCGCGTCCTGGCAGCCCGTGGACGAGCCGAGGATGGCGACCTCTCGTCGGCGTTCCCTCATTCAGGAGGAAAAGAAACACACAGACACAATTAATCCTCGATTTCCCAGAAAATATGGGAAAATATGGGAAGTGGGCGGGAAGACAGAAACCCAGAAAATATGGGAAAATATAGGGAATCTTTTTATTTGTGTGTATTTATTTGTGTGTCCTGGGGGCCCTTCACTCATGTTGTGGATTTACCAGCCTGGAACATATCCCTATCCCTATGCTGGGCACCTCCTCATCACGATGCCGATCTCAGGGATTCCCTTGTTTTTTAAGGGCGGACCCCTAAGATTGTCATCGCCTTTTGGCGTGTCAATCTTAGGGATAGGGATACGTTTGAGGCTGGTAATGGACGCCATGGCGATGGACACCCTGACAACCCCATCCTTGAATCAAGAATAGGTCCATAATGTTTTATACATGTCTCAACACGTTTAAAGCATGCGTTTGACATGTTCAAAACCTGTTTAAAATATGGTTAGGAATCTGGAAGCTGTTTGGCAACCTGCTTCCTCTCCATTGGTTGTCGTCCACAACGCTTGTGGAGTCCCAAACCCAGAGAGCTTGGCGCCAGAACGGCGTGCGAAAACCTCTCAAAGAACTCTAAACACTCGTGGAAAGAAAAAAACTTCCGACTGACATTCTGGTGAAAAACTTCCGGGCAAACGTACTGGGAAATGCTTTAAAAAATGCTTGGGGACAGAATTCTGGTTCCGGCATGGCGCGACGGGAATTCCTGCCGGAAGCCGGAACGAACTCCAGGGCTACCCTACGGCTCCGGCTTGTTAATCTGACACCCTCTTAGCTCTGTGCGAACTATCTGGGAATCAACCCACATACCTGGGTCAGAGCCAAGTGGCCGAACGGTCATTCGCTGTGCATGGGCGCGTGGCTAAAGTGGGTCTCCACGGTTAGGAATGTCATTGCGTCGTTGCTGCGTTGCTGAATTTTATTCTCAAAGAACGATGAGTGTTGATCCCCACGTTCTCGCGAGGGACTTCCTCACAATGTATGCAATAAGCGCGCTGTCGCGTGGGACTTACTTGCAATTTATTCAGACGCAGCGGCCTCGACGCTCAAGAATCACGCCTTCGCTCTGAAATTCCTCACAATTGATTTGGGAATCGCGATATCTCTCAAGACTTCTTCGCGATATATGCCGGGGTCATGCCTAAGTAGCCCGCCTTCTCGACCGGGCCGCCTGGGCCCGCCTTCCTGACCCGCCCGCTGGGGTCTACCCGCCCGATCTGCCCGTCTGGTTCTGCAATGTGTGTTTGTCCTCGTCCTAGCCCCCTTCCTGCAAATCCCTCTCGTGTTTTTTCCCGCCCCCCTGCCATCCGTCCTCTCTTCCCCTGTTTTGGGGGCAGCACTGAGTGCACGGGCAGGTAAGGAAGACATGCCACCCAGGGGGCACGATCGACGACGCAAGGGGCAGGTGCCGAGGGCTTGGGATACTCGTGTGGAGTGGCACGCGATCTGATAGGAACGAGCAATATTAAAGTGATTAGTGCTGTTGTTGTTGGTGGCGGTGTTCTTGTTGTCGGATTCTAATAGTTCTAAACAGAACTACTGAGATAATCCCCCACCCGGTAACCTCGGTATGTTTTCAATTCGTGACTTGTTGTTTTTACCCCCAGGGCTCGTACACTGTTTGTTCAGAAAGAACGCGTAGGGCCACCAAGCTGTGTCCCTGGACCCGGGCTTACAACAATAACAACAATCATCTCCAGACTGTTCGCTCTTATCTGCTCGCGAACCACTCGAAACATATATCCCAAACCCTCGGTACCCGCCCTCTTCGTTTTCGATCGTACCCCCCATTCCGGGTACATCTTTGTTACCTGCAACGTGTATTTCGTGCAGCCCCTGAGGCAGGGGAGGAAAGGACGGATGAAAGGACAAACCACGGGGGAAGGAGGAGGATGGAACAGAAGAGGAAATAGCAGAAAGGGGGGTATGAGCAGAACAGAAAAGGCAGAACGAGACGGGCAAATCGGGCGGATAGACCCTAATGGGCGGGTCGGGAAGGCGGGCCCAGGTGGCCAGGTCGAGCAGGCGGGTTGCTGAAGCGTGCGCCCTGCATGACTCGCGAGGACACCTCGAGCGATACCGCGATGCCCAAAAAAATCTGTAGAAATCCAAAGCGAGAGCGTGACTCCTGACTGTCGAGGTCGCGGCGTCCGAATGGATAGCAGGGACGTCCCACGCGATAGCGCGACTCCTGCACACACTGAAGGAATCCCGCGCGACAGCGCAGTGTTGGAATACACTGTGAGGAAATGCCCGGCGAGAGCTGTTGTTGTTGTTGTAGTCCGGGGGCCAGGGTCCCAGTTTGGTGACCGCTCGCTGCCCCTTGTAAAAAAGAAGGCGCGAACCCCAGCAGCATCTGTCTGAGAATCGCGCTATATCGCCGGCCGCTCGAGACTTCTCCTCGGGGGTCATGCGGGACGCACGCTTCAGCAGCCCGCCTTCTCGACCTGGCCGCTCGGGGCCGCTCGCGGCCCGCCCCTTTTGGTCTGCCCGCCCGATGGGCCCGTCTGGTCGTGTTTTCTGCTCCGAGCCCCTCTCGTGCGAATCCCGTGTTCAATCCTCTTCCCTCCACCGTCCATCCTCCTTCCCTTATTTCAGGGGCTGCACCAATTACGCGCGGCAGGTATAGAAGATCTACCCCCAAGGGGGTACGATCGAAGATGAAGAGGACGGGCACCGAGGGTTTAGGATATACGTATATACTTGTTGGACGGCACGCGGGCACATAAAAGCGAACAGACTAAACATGATTGGTGTTGTTGTCGTCGTCGTCGTCGTTGTGGTAATTGTTGTTGTTGTTGTTGCTTTTGTTGTTGGGCTTTCACTACTGAAGAATTATTAATGTTGCCCCCCCCCTGCGGTAACCATTTTTTCAATTGTGAAGTTCTTCCCCCGGGGCTCGCACTGGGCCGATGGCCCCCAGATTACAATAATAACAACGGCTCCCGCTTGAGACTTCTTCACACGTTAGCCAGGACCCCCCGCTCCCGCCTGAGCCTTCTTCGCGTTTTACCCAGGAGTCGCGATCTCGCTTGGGACGTCCGTACAACGTATGCAGGAACATTTCTCTCGGCGCTCTGGAGTCGCGCTCTTGCTGGAGACTCGATTGTAAGTTACTTAAGAATCGCGTCTTTGAATTAAGATTCCCAGCAATGTACTCAAGCGCCGCGCTCCCGACACTCAGGCACCCATGAATCGCGCTCACGCTTGGGAGCCCCTCCCAATTGCATAAGAATTCTGGATCTCGCTGCCCTTCGTGGCCCCGTTGCAGCCCTTCGTGGCCCCCTCGCTGCCGTTCGTGGACCCGTTGCAGCCCTTCGTGGCCCCCTCGCTGCCCTCCGTGGCCCCGTTGCAAACCTTCAAGGCTCCCTCGCTGCCCTTCGCGGCCCCGCTGCAGCCCTTCGTGGCCCCCTCGCTGCCCTTCGTGGGCCCGTTGCAGCCCGTCGTAGCCCCCTCGCTGCCCCTCGCGGCCCCGTTGCAGCCCATCGCGGACCGCCCGCAGCCCTTCGTGGCCCCGTTGAGGCCCATGATGGCCCCCTCGCTGCCCACCGTGGCCCCAATGCATCCCTTCGTGACCCCCTCGCCGGCCTTCGTGGCCCCGTTGCAGCCCTTCGCGGCTCCCTCGCTGACCCCCGTATATGCCTGCCCTTCGTGGCCCCCGCTTGTTCGCGCCCGTCGTGGCCGCATATGCATGTGTTTCGTGGCCCCCTCGCTGCCCTTCGTGGCCCCGTTGCAGCCCTTCGTGGCCCCCTCGTTGCCCTGCGTGGCCCCATATATGCCTGCCCTTCGTGGGCCCCGCTCGTTCGCTCCCGTCGTGGCCGCAAATGCACGTGCTTCGTGTCCCCGCTGTCGCCCCTCGCGGCCCCGCGCCGCTGCCATTGCTCCTCTCCGTGGCCCCGCCCTCTTGCCCTCTGCGGCCCAATCTACGCATGCCCTTCGTGGCCCCCGCTCGTTCGCACCCGTCGCGGCCCCATGTGCGCGCCCTTCGTGGCCCCGCTGTCGCCCCTTATGCCCCTTTCACTGTCTTACACGGCCCCGTTGCCACCCGCAGTGGCCCCGTCGTTGCACCCTGCGGCCCCGCATTATCGGCCCTTCGCGGCCCCCGCTCGCATGCGCCCTTTCGAGGCCCCATGCGCATGCCGTTCGTGGCCCCGCTGTCGCCATTCATGGCCCACTTCGTGCCCTTCGTGGCCCCGCTGTCCCTCTCGCTCTCGCTCTCGCTCTCGCTTTCGCTCGTCGTCGTCGTCGTCGTCGTCGTCGTGGTCGGTCCCCTGTCCGTCCCTTTTGGGGTCGGGCTTCCGCCGATCAGCGCTGCCGCTGGCCAGGCCGACGGTCCGCGGCCGCCCCGCCGCTCACCAGGGCCTGGCCTGCAGGGAAGACAAATACATCCCCCTAAAGGGGTACGATCGACGACGAAGAGGGCGGGTATCGAAGGTTTGGGAACACACACCTTGAATGACACCCGGGCAGGTAAGAACGAACAAGTTTAACATGACTGTTGTTTGTTATTATTGTTGTTCTTGTTGATGTTTGTTGTCGTCGTCGCCGCGACCTGCCCACGACCCACCCCATGCGTGTTATGTACGGGAGGGGTTTTCACACAAACTCCGCCCTGTTGGTGCCTTCTGGTGTCTACCAATGTCCATACCCGAGTCTGTTTACGCCGCGTGTCGCCTCCTCGCGCAGGTGCCTGCAAACTGCGCTTGCCAGCGTCCACTAGCGAGGCCTGTTAGCCAATAGTACACGCTGGTAGCTGTGGAAGACACACAGCCCATGCCGACAATGACTATCGTTAGGTCGGGCCTGTCCCCCTACAGGGGGATTTGCGACGAAAAATAAAAGATAACCCCAAACATAATTTTAACCAAATCATCAAAAAATCGCATGGGGACTATGTTTTGCATTTGTTTTTACATTTGGGGGGCATTTTGGGTGTATTTCCCTACCTAGGCTCTGCCTAGAC